CATATGGCAGACAGAGGCATAGGACAAAAGCTTTCCTTTCATTATCATTTTCATAATCTACTTATGAAAAAAGAAAATATGGTACTGCATTCCTTCCAATTTGTTCGCTTTTTTTAAACAAATACACAAGACTTCTGAAACCCAATATTAACTTTTTTTTTTGACTCATGCAAGCAAAGCCAAACAACACAAAAAAAATCACACGTCTAGAGATGTTATTGGTATTATTTTTATCCAGATGATTTCTGAAATGAAAAATAAAATAAAGAAATAAAATATATCAAAGTCACTTTTAGAATAGTGCAGGTAAATGTAAGGAACAGATGCAAGACCAAATTGCTGTCTTCATTTCCAAGTGCTTCAACCATGTGGAATTGCTCATCAGATAGCATGCAACTGGTCCACGTTTGTAAAATGTATGTGTAAACAAGTTAAATTCTAACAAGTTAATACTACCGATTCAGTATATTTTGCATTCTGCTTAATAGATTTTTAAAGGCACCTTATTAATGAAGCTGCAAAACTACATTCAGCACTGTACAGAATATGAAGATGTCCTTAATGACTCTTAAAGTTTCCAATATGAATACATTCAGAGATCAAATAAAATGTATGTAGTATAAACAACTTTGCACATCACAGATTTCCCTTCTATTATCTCACCAGAAGGTGGCATACAATGCACAGTTTATACACATTTTTACTTTTTTTTTTTTTTCAAATTCTTTTCTATTTTTCTTCAGCTTAGAACTTTCAACCTTTTACAATAAAGAGTCTGACAGTTTTAGTTGATTTTAAGTAATAATCACAAAAGATCCTTTCTGCAAATACAATAACTGTTATCCAAGAGCAATCTGGAGCAACTAGTATTGGTATTTATACCATGCATTGATATTTATACCATGCATTTATACCATACTATTGAAAAGCAGTTGGCTGTAACAGTGGAACATCAATCTGTCCAGAATGGTATGAATATCTTTTAATGTATGTATTGTGAAAGTGAGTTTATTACAATTAGTGGAAAAATATTTTTATTATAAATGAAAAAGAAAATAAAAGCATACATTATTAGCTTCACCAAATTAGCAGAAATAACTTTCTTAACCCTTGTCCTAATAGTCTGTTACTTATTAGGATGTATGCTTTATATCACATCCCCATTTTTTGTAATTTGAAACTAAGTAGGGTGTGAAAGTCTTTTGATGGAAGCAAAAATAAAACAGCAGCACAAGAAAAATGTGTTCAACTTGCTTAGATTACATAGAATATTAAATATTTTTGTTTGATGATATAACATTTCTCTATGTATCTAAGCCTAATAAACCTGGCTTTCCTAAATCCTTTGTTAGAAAGAATTAAGCTGATAGTTTGTTGGCCATGAATAATTCACCAAACCAGCATATCCTGCAGTCATTAGCTAGCCACTAGGTGATGCTGCTAAGTACATCCTTCCCTCTATCACCACCTCTTGAGCTCCTAGCATCTTTTCTCCCAATTTACATGGCAGGCTGCTCGTGATGTCCCCTTCTTCAGCATGAGGGCACATTGGTCTGTTCTATCAGCCATAAAGGAGTTTTTTTCCTTTTCTAATATTTTTTTACATTTCAGAAAGTCACCTGCAGAGGGAGTCATGGCCTCCTGGCTACTAAAGGAGGAGTCTACCTTCTAATCAATCTGCTAACTAGGCACTGAAGATGTGGAGAAAAATTAATAAAACAATCAATCCTACAGACTAATTGTAATTGTTGATATATACATTGCTTCCAGAAAATATATCTGAATAAATATTCAGCCAAATAAATTTTTAAAATGTCTCAACAGGACTTTGCAAAGATTGGAAAATATTGACAACACTGGTTTACAGGTGGATCAATTCACCACATTAGTGGCAGAGTCAAGATGAGATGATAACTCGAACATTATGGGTGGAAGTCCACTGCTCTAACCATGAGAATCTGAAGATTCTACGTGATAATAAAAAACATTACTCCTATCACTCTATCCATTACTCCATCTATATGCTAGAGCACAGGAGCTTCAGTGTAACTATTTACAAAAGTGGTATTCACATATATGTTCAACTTCAGTTTTAGTCAAAAGCTGTTTATTTTTCACCTAGCCCCAAATTTACAAAGGCATTTATTTGCATGCTTCATTTTAAGTGCCGCACCCAGAGAGTGGTGGTGGACGGGTCATTCTCCACCTGGAGGGATGTGGGCAGTGGGGTCTCCCAGGGCTCGGTCCTCAGGCCTGCACTGTTCAACATCTTCATCAGTGACTTGGACGAGGGGGTAAATAGCACCCTGTTCAAATTTGCTGACGGCACTAAAATGTGGGGGGATGTGGGCATGCTAGACAGGAGGAATACGCTGCAGTCAGACCTAGACAGGTTACAGGGGTGGGAGGATGAGAACAGAATGGGTTTCAACACTGACAAGTGCAAGGTGATGCACTTGGGGAGGAAGAACCAGCAGCATACCTACAGGCTGGGGAACTCCCTTCTCATCAGTGCAGAGGCAGAAAAGGATCTTGGAGTCATCATTGATGCCAAGAAGAACATGGGTCGGCAGTGTGGGGAGGCAGTCAGGAAGGCCAACCGCACCTTGTCATGCATCCACAGATGCATCTCAAGCAGGTCCAGGGAGGTGATCCTCCCCCTCTATGAGACACTGGTCAGGCCACAGCTGGAGTACTGCGTCCAGTTCTGGGCGCCGCACTTCAAGAGGGATGTGGACAGCATAGAGAGGGCCCAGAGGAGGGCCACTCACATGATCAGGGGCAGCAGGGCAGGCCCTACAAGATCAGGCTACAGGACCTGAAGCTGTTCAGCCCCCACAAGAGAAGGCTGAGGGGGGACCTAGTGGCCTGTTACAAACTAGTCAGAGGGGACCAGCAGGCATTGGGGCAGTCACTGTTCCCCCGAACACTGCCAGGAGTGACTAGAAATAACAGTCACAAGCTGGCATAGGGTAGATTCAGACTAGATATCAAGAGGCACTACTTCACAGTCAGGGCGGCTAGGATCTGGAACCAACTTCCAAGAGAAGTGGTGCTGGCTCCTACCCTGGGGGTCTTTAAGAGGAGGCTAGACAAACACCCTGCCGGGGTCGTCTGACCCCAGTACTTTTTCCAGCCAAGGCAGGGGGTCGGACTTGATGATCTGCTCAGGTCCCTTCCGACCCTACCAACTATGAAACTATACGTGTGCAAAATTTCATGGGAACTAGTCACATGATCAGATTTAGGCACCTGTTTAGATGACTGCACAATCAGCATCTACACGTGATATCTTTATAAAGCAGAAAAATTACCAATTTTTACAGTTTACTTTTTACGAAAGTAAGCTGTAGGGTATCCTGCATACTCACCAGTTTTTTAGGTAATTGGTAAACAGTATATTACTAATATTCAGAAGTTTTCACTTTTGCCAAAAAGCAAATCTGGCAAGTTTGCTCCCCTCTCTTTGGATTAATAAGCTTTGTAGAAAATAAGGCTATTAAATTACCTACTACAGGGGCAATTCAATGGTGTACTATTTTTGATTAACTAAAGGAAATCAGAAAAATTGTCCTTACCTCATTTTATAAGTTAATTTTTCTGCTTTTAGCCTGACTGAAATTTTAAAATGTGCAAGTTGTAGTTGTAGTTCTAGTTCACAAATAATAATATCCACTTCCTCAGTAATTATAGGAAATAAAGCAATCAGATAAATCATTTTAAGTCAACACTAATGTCTTAACATAACTAATGTCTGGCCCACTACCACATAAAACCCTGAAGTGTTTGGAAGATAAAAAGTCCCATGTGCAAATATTAATTGATATTCAAATAGCTAAATGCACACTCATCCTAGCAAAATTAATATTAACAGTGTAATTTTAACTTTCTGCTCATTTTGAGATGCTGGTCAGTTGTATATAGAATATATTGCCAAAGTATATTGTATACTGCCAAAGTATAGCGGGAAAACATTACTTCACTGAAGAATTAGCTTTGGTACAAACAGTGAATAGCTGAGCCACATGTCCCAATATCCATCAGTCTGGCATCACTTTTCCATTTAGAACTATTTACGTTAATACATTTCTATCATTATCTGGGTCTAACATCAACATCCTTCTTTTTGTAGTAACTGAAAGGAAAATAAAATTTCCCCAAAGTAATAAAAATGGAAATGACACACTGAGTTGTCTAAACATTTATTTTCAATCAGTTGTAACTATCACTGTTTCCAAGCACTAGTGAAACATTACTGGCACCATTCTAGCTGAACACTCACCTCCATGCTCTTGATTAAATGAGACGCAAAATGTTGGCCTGTATTTTATTATAATAACTGGCAAAATACTATTGTTTTTGTTAATTAAATTGTAAGGAGATTAGTTTAAACTACCATAATGAAGAGATTAAAAGGTAAAATATCCACTTCCTCTGTACAACCTAAGATCTAGAAAATCAGATTGCTTAAAAATGTAGCTTCTGTTCAGCATAAGTGCTGCGCCAAAGGTGTTGAGCTACAGAAGCACTGCAAGCTTCTGTGGCTTGGCATCTAAGCAACCTAATCTTCTGTGTCTTGAAGCCACAGGAGGCTGATTGTAATTGGTATCCTGATTTTTTGCCATCCACTTTAAAATTTGTAGAAGTGAGGCTTGAGACTTCATTTTCCAGAAGCACAAGCCTCTCAGATTAGAGGAAGGTGCCATCAGAGTGAAGCAGATTTTCTGATAAGCACATCAGCTTGCTGTGAAACCAACTTATCTGCTCACCATAATCCCTTTTGTGGGCATAAAAGACTGGTGGACTATAGCTCACCTAACAGAAGAGCATATTTTTAAAGCAAGAGTCCATGTGGTACATGAGAGAAACAGAGAAAAGATGTGGGGTGGGTATGGAAGACATACCTAATAAAAATAGCTAATGGTTAATGTTCTACGGATTATACTTGTACTGTACTCCAACACAAACAACAAACTAACTTCAGCCACATTGTTGCTTACCTTTCACTGGACAGTCAATTGTAATGTTTGCTCCAGTTCTTGTCACTATTGTACCTCCAACAGTTACAGAGAAATTACTGTCTTCCAGATTTGTGACATTCATTCCATGGGACAAAATGATGGGAACCTCTGCAGAACAGGAGTTAATGAATGATGAGCTTAAATATCTTTTTCAGTTTTATTTGCTTTGTAAAGCCCGTATTTAAATCATTGCTATTCAGAGCAGAAATAAGTTTGGAAAGATGAGTATAGATTTTCAAGTGGATCAGCTATCAAAAAAGCAAACAAAATGTTTGGAATTATTAGGAAGGGAACTGTGAACAAAACTGAAAGTATCATTATACCCCTTAATAAGTCCATGGTGCATCCACACTTTGAACACTGCCCAGTTCTAGTCCCCACCCCTCAAAAATGGTACAAAACAACTAGGGAAGGTACAGAGAAAGGCAACAAGGATGTTTAGTAGTATAGAGGGGCTTCCAAATGAGGTGAAACTAAAGTAGGTAGTTCTATTCAGTTTAGAAAAGAGACACTTGAGGGAGGAGGCATGATAAAGGTTTACAGTATCATAGAATCATAGAAAATTAGGGTGTGCTAAATGGCAAAGAGAAAGTAAAGAGGGATTTATTATTTACTGTCATAATACAAGAACTAAGGGTCACAAAATTAAATCAGTGGCTAGTAAGATTAAAACTAACAAAAGGAAGTTCTTTTTTGCAGAGCATATCATTAAAGTGTGAAACTCATTGCCACTAGATGTTGTGGAAGTTGACAGTTTAGGTAGATTCAAAAAGGGACTGGACAAATTTTTTTGAGGAAAGGGGCATCAGTTGCTATGGAGCAGGGGAGTTAGGGATATAGCCTCTGAATTAAAACTTTGTCAACCTTAAATGCTAAAGGCTGCAAGTGAGAGTTGAACAGTGGAAAAAAAACCCAGCTCATACCCAGGTCACTCTCTGCCACTGTGTGACCCTGGATACTGGGAAAGTTGGACCTATAGTCTGACCCAGTAAATAGCAATTCTCATGCTCTTATGTATTTAAACTCAGCTCATGCCTGCTGTAGTCCTAACCAAAGTCCCATTTAAGAGTAAGAAGACGACCTAGCTACGGATGACCACAAATGCATGAACTACAGATATAATCCAAGTCTTTTTCATTGGGAGTGGGAAACGGGTATTAGCAGCACAGAATGTCATGACAAGCATTACCTGCATACAGGAGTAAAGACGTTTCCATATCAAAACCGAGGTCATTAACAACCATGCATCCATACACACCAGCCTCCTTTTGGCTAGGATTTAGAATATGTACTTTTCCAACACCATCCAAAACCACTCTGCAAAATGTTTCAGAAAAGAAAAGGTTAGCTCAGATAGGAGAAAACCCATTTGCCCATATCCTTCTAACAGATCTCAGCTCTCTCTTAAAGAACATGGGAAGAAGAATTCTTCTATCAAGGATGCAAAGTAGCAGCAGCAGTACACCACACACGACTGGTAGGGAAGGCCCGGGGGGCATGTGCCCCCTCTGAGAGGGCTGTCCCCACCAGCGGCTTCTGCAGGTGCTCACCAGCCCTGTCCCCGC